CCCAATTTTGCTTGGCCCGATAATTCTTCTGAATTAGAATCTCCATCTTCTTTGACTTGTTCGATTTTATCGATGAACAAAGCACCGTCACCTCCATCTCCGGCCATAACAATTAATTATGTCCACATCATCACAACATTTTTCATCACATTGTACATTGGAGGATGAAAAATTGTGATATTAATAAAGGTTTGATATGGAGTGTAATTTACCACTACAACATTGAGCATTAGAGATGCTCTTACCTAAGCCTAATAACGAAAAATGTAATTTTATCACATAGCATTTCGAAGCACCAGAAGCAGCCACGTAGGCTTATCGCGTTCTGAATTAATATATAGGGGGATAGGGGGATAATACCTTGGGAATGATTCCCTCATATTAATATAAAAGTATTGATATGGACTAGTACAACGCCCGTGTATTACACGAGTGTGTGCTAATTTTTTTCTTAAAATAAAATTAATGAGAAAAAATAGTTGAAAATTTAAATACCTTTTATAAAAATATATATACTATTATATGGTTAGTATGACACTTTTTATTTGTGCGACTTACTTGTGCTATACTATAATAATTTTTTTAACTTACAACAAATAAGTACATTAAACATAAATATATCAATTGAGAAATAATTTTATTTTTCTAATGAATTTTAATAAATATAATTATTTTTTATTATAATAAAGATAATATAATTTATTTATTTCATATATACAATATGGATGTCAAATTGAAGAACATCAAAAAATGAATAATTTGATATATTATATATATATAATTGATAAGAAATACAAAAGTTTATCAACTTTTAAAATAAATTTACAATTCAATAGCTAATTGGAGGAAACAAATCAAAAGTCATGGATATATTAGTCACTTAGTGCCACTATGTAAAATTACAAATAATTAAAGGGTTATATTAGTACAATTGATATTAAAATACCTAAGTTAGCTAAATAATATTTATAGAATGTTCGAACTTAGATTAATATATCAATATTATTTGTCCAAACCTAATTACGAAGCATGATTACTCGCCAAGTAGGATTCTGAAGCAGCAGAAGCAGCCACGTAGGCTCAGCGCATTCGAAAATTATATATAGGGAGGATATAGGGAGGATTTTTAGATGAGGTCAAATCGAAGTGGTGTGATAATTTTTTATTGGAGTTTGATATAAGGGTATTGTTCCATTACGATATCGTAACATCTTATGATAAACAAAAACCACAATCAAAATGCTTGATTTAATAGAACAACCT